TTAGCCTTTTGGTTTTATGAGGCCTTTGTACCTTTTCTTTTTTTTTTTTTTTTTGGCCAGTTGTGGACACTGTCGCTCAGCTCTTCAGCTCAAGGCTAGCGTTCCACAACTTCAGCCACAGCGCCACTTCTGGCTTTTTCTGCTTATGTGGTGCTGAGGCATCAAACCCAGGGCCTCATGCATTCAAGGCAAGAATTCTACCAGCCCCGAGGCCTTTGTACCTTTTTCAAGTGTGGTTACGCCTTTAGAGTTAGGGTTGCACAGTATTCTGTCTAGCTGAGGGAAATAAACAAAAATACATTTAGGGAAATCTGTCCTTAATATTTTTAATGGTTTGGATTTTAATAATAAACCATCTAAACATTTCTAAAGAATACTCATGATAGGGTTGAGATGGGGGATGTATTGGGATCTAAAGTCACTCTTAAGTGTCTAGATTTTTTTCTATGTGCTTTGAACCTGACATTAATAGTTCAGGCTTCTACATATTTATGTTTTTCTCTAGGAGTACTTTTTTGATCCAGATGTACTAACTGAAGGAGAACTGGCCCCAAATGATAGATGTTGCCGAATTTGTGGGAAAATTGGACACTTTATGAAGGACTGTCCCATGAGGAGAAAGTAAGCACATGTTTCAAAAACACATCTTCTTCCTCCCAGTCTCTCCCCCCACCCCCACCCCCACTGTGTGCGAGACCAGGGCTTTGGCACTGCCCTTGACTCTACCACTGGAGCCACAGAAACACTGCTGGCCAGTTGGTGGTTAATTGGAGATATGGACTTTCCTTCTGCTCAGGCTTTGACATGCAATCTACAAATCTCAGCCTCCTGAATAGCTAGTATTACAGATCTGAGCCATTGGTGCCTGGCAATGATTTTTTGTTTTCATTTTCTTTTTTTATTTCTTTTTGTATGCTGTGGGGTATGAACTCTGGGCGCTGTCCCTCAGCTCTTTAGCTCAAGGCTAGCATTCTACCACTTGAGCCACAGTGCCACTTCCGGTTATGGTTTATTGGAGATGAGAGTCTCACGGACTTTCCTGCCTGGCCTGGCTTTGAACCACGATCCTCAGATCTCAGCCTCCTGAGTATAAGATTACAGGCATGAGCAACCAGCACCTGGCTGTCCAATTTTTTGGGGGGGTACAGTCATGGGGTCTGAACTCAGCCTGGGAGCTACCCCTCAGCTCTTCAACTCAAGGCTAGTGCTCCACCACTTGAGCCACAGCACCACTTCCGGCTTTTTTTCTGCTTATGTGGTGCTGAGGAATTGAACCCAAGGCTTCATGCATGCGAGACAAGCACTCTACCACTGAGCCAACTTCCCAGCCTGTCCAATTTTTTTTTTTAACCACAAGATAATTTCATTTTCTCAACCACATTTATGCCACTGCACTTGGTTTTGTATTTGATTTCTTACATGTTATTGAAGTATGCATTAATATGTTTCTGTTTGAGAAATAGGACACATGAAAGAAGCCTTCTGTATACAATGTTTTCTGTGTATTTTTCTTTGTTTCACACATAAATAACAATCTCCCAGCTTGTTCTACAAATAATCTTCTGGTCAACTTGGGAAGGTCACAATATGCATAAAAAGCTAAAATTGTCAAAAACAGATTTCCTTATTTTTAAAACAGGGTCTCTCTATGTTGTTAGTGGCTTCATACTGGGGTTTTCTGCTTTAACCTTCCTCGTAGCTGGGATAGAGGTGTACACCACTGTGCCTGAACATAAGCTGAGATTTTTTTTTTAATTAAAAAAGAAGCAGTGACCATTTAAATATTTTTTGTATCTTATTAAATCTACTTCAGCTTATCTGAACAATAGCACTTGTGAAATCTTTTTTTTTTTTTTTGGTCGGTCATAGAGCTTGAACTCTTGGGCCTGGGCACTGTTCCTCAGCTCTTCAGCTCAAGGCAACCGCTCTACCACTTAAGCCACAGCACCACTTCCGATTTTCTGAGTGGTTTATTGGAGATAAGAGTCCCCAGCTGGCTTTGAACCACAATGCTCAGATCTCAGCCTCCTGAGTAGCTAGGATTACAGGCCTGAGCCACTGATGCCTGGCTTTGTGAAGTCTTTTAAGGTTATCTACTAAAAACTAAAATTTGCAAGATACATAGTTGGCTTGATTTTATAAAAATAATTCCACTGAGATTATGTGACAGAAGCAACTAATTCCCTTAAACATATTCTGGACTTGAGCAATTTTTTCCTCAAAGCTATCGGTCTACCACTTGAGCCACAGCCACTTCCAGCAGTTTTTTTTGTTTTGTTTTGTTTAGGCAGTTAATTGGAGATAAGAATCTCATAAACTTTCCTGCTGGAATTGGCTTCAAGCCACAATCCTCAGATCTTAGCCTCTTAAGTAGCTAGGATTACAGGCATGAACCACTGGTGTCTGGCAAAAAGTAAAACTTTACAGTGGTACATGTCAGTACTCCACTGTATGCTCAAGTATAATGTAATCTTCAGAATCTGTTGTAGAATCTCAGAATTTCTCCAGCCTTTGGTGCTTCAGTAGTATTGCAAGGCTTCTCATTTACTGATGAAAACGCTTCTGGGTTAAATCATTATATATAAACCATATGCAATTTGACAGTTTATATAAATAAACCAACATAACAAAGTTCTTGAAATCTCAAGCATGGTCTCTTGCCCTACAGTTGGACTTATCCCTCTTCAACAGCAAATAACACAGTGTATGGCAGAGGTTAAGAGAAAATTATTGTTATATCTCCTCTTCGTTCTTTTTTCTTGTTGGTGCTGGAGTTTAATCCCAGGTCCTTATACTTGCCATGCACTTTACCACTTGAGCCACACTTCTAGCCTTTTCAGACCCATTTTTAATGTAGTTCAACTGTAACAGAGAAAATAAGTTTGTATAAAATCCAGCAATTTCAGATAAAGTTTTGGGGGTTTTTTGGTGTGCTTTTTGTTAATGAAAATGAGGTGATTGACACAAAGCCTTATGATCTGCTAAAGTACTCCCAGTGATTTTGTACATAGAGATGGGTGGATCATGGTGTAAGGCCATCTAGTTTTGAAAAAGAAAGTAAAGGCAGTGAAGCAATGTCCTTTGGATTTTGACAGTATCTCTAGCTACTGGAGAGGCAGAAATTGTAAGGATCATGGTTTGAGGCCAGTTTGAGCAAAACGTTAATGAGACCCTCACCTTAGTCAATAAGCTAGAAATGGTGACATATATTCCTTATCTGAGCTATATGGAAGATGGGAAGGTGTTGGTTTGGTTCTGACAGTCCCAGGTAAAACCACAAGGAACTGCCTAAACAATAACTAAAGCAGAAGTGTCTAGTAGGCATGGTTCAAGTGAGAGTACTTGATTCAGAAGTACGGAGTTGTAAGTTTGGCACACACACACACAGAGTTGTAAGTTTGAAACACACACACACACACACACCATAAAATAACTAAAGCAGAAGTATCTAGTAGGCATGGTTCAAGTGAGAGTACTTGATTCAGAAGTACAGAGTTGTAAGTTTGAAACACACACACACAGAGTTGTAAGTTTGAAACACACACACACACACACACCATAAAAGAACTTAACCCAAAGACAGACTCCCTAGGTAATTGAAAACGTGTCTCATGAACAAGTTCAGCATGGTTCATGTTTATTTAGGAGGATCTCAAGTCATGGCTAGCCAAGGCAGAGACCCAAGGGTCTCCGGTAGCAAAAAGTAAAAAGGGCTGGAGTTGTAGGTCTCAAGTAAAAAGATGCTGAGTTCAGAAACCTTAAACTGCCAAATAATTCTTTTAAAATGCATGCATGCATACATACATACATATAACAAAACATGGCTTTAGCCGAAAATGATCAGGGTTATTATCCCATGTGCATAGTTAACAGTCTCCCAGGCCTGGTCATTTTGGTCATGACCCTGCTTTCTAATTTGCTGCTTACACAAGAATAGAAGAAGAAAGGAAACTGAGTCTCTCTATTCAGAGAAATAGAAGTTCATTTTTTTAGTCAGTAAATAGTCAAGTGAGTTCCCCAGGGCCTCAACTATATCTAATGTAAAGTGACTGGAGTATGACTTATTGGAACTTGTCCTCATTGGCCATTTATTGTAATATAGGACTCTTCATTTGCACAAGACTTAACTCTTTTAAAAAAAAAAAACCTTTCAAAAAAGAAATACAGCCAGGCACAGGTGGCTCACACCTGTAATCCTAGCTACTCAGGAGGCTGAGATCTGAGGATTGTGGTTCAAAGCCAGCTCGGGCAGGAAATTCCATGCGACTCTTATCTCTAATAAACCACTCAGAAAAACAGAAATTGCTGTGGTTCAAGTGGTAGAGCATTTTGCCTTGAGCTGAAAGCTGAGGGACAGTGCCCAAGCCTAGAGTTCAAGCTCCATGATCGACAAGAAAAAAGAAATACATAATTTGAGCGTTTTGCTTTTTCCTGGTAGTGTTTGTCAGAGGCAAGGGAACGAGTTTTATTTTTTGATAGAGATACAGTGTGATTTCAGGTGGTACTTATGGGATTTTTTTTGGACAATAATATTCTCAATTTAAAAACACACTGAAAATCAGGTGGTATCAGAGATTGAGTTCTTTCTTAGTAGTTTTTTTAAATTCAAATAATAGTAATCATATTGAGTAAGGTAAAAATGATTTTAACATTTTAAGAAGATAAATCTTCCCTTGATCATTATTCCTTATGAATTTAAAGTTTCCTACCTTAGTTTCCACTGCATAGTAAGAAATGCCAATGTGCCAGAAAGACAGTTCCAGAAATCCTTACAAAGATGATTTGAGTTTCATTGCATCGGATCAAAAAAGAAATTTAACCAGAGCGATACTAATTGTGAAACTGTGTTTGTAGAACTAGAGTAACTTGGAAAATGAAAACAACAAAAACTACATCTTGAACTCCAGAGGGACATTTGTTACTCCATATCCACAGATTCCATATCAATGGATTGAACCAACTGCAAATCAAAATTATTTTGAAAAGTAAATACTACCTGTATACTGAACAATGCAGACTTGTTTATGTAGGTATTACCTACATTTCATAGTATTGTAGTTAATCTAGAATGTATCAGGTTATGGAAACATCATACTCTTTTTTTATATAAAGAACTTAATCATTCATTGATTTTGGTTTCCAAAAAGGGTTCTGAAACCAAGCCCCTATGGATATTGAGGGCTGACTATAAATTCTTAATGGGGAAAACGTAGCATTTATTCCTTTATTTCCTTGTTTACTCTCTTTTCCTGGTTATCTCCACATGCTGGTGCTATCTTGATATTTTTTGTTTAGACTTTTCTTACTACAAGTATTATTACATCTTCTATAGAGTGAGACGACGACGTGATCAGGAAGATGCCCTAAACCAAAGACACCCTGACAACAAAGAAAAAAGAAGCAAAGAAGACAAAGAAATTCAAAACAAGTACACAGAAAGGGAGGTATCAACAAAAGAAGATAAACTCATGCAGTGCACAGCTCAGAAAGCCAAGCCTATGAGGGCAGCTGTTGACCTTGGGAGGGAGAAGATTGTCAGGCCATCAGTGGAAAAATGGAAGAGACAAGATGATAAAGACTTAAGAGAAAAACGTTGTTTTATTTGTGGAAGAGAAGGGCACATTAAAAAGGAATGCCCACAGTTTAAAGGCTCTTCAGGTAAGTGATGCTTATACTAAGATGTCAAGGGGAAAAAATTATTTTTAGAATTCTTTCCATTTTATTTATATATATATATACACACACACACACACACATATATTTGTATATACACATGTGTATAATTTTTTAAGAAATAAGTTGTGTTTTAAGAAAGCAAAATTTCACTGGGTACCAGTAGCACACTCCTATCTGTAACCCTATATGACCCTAGCTATTTAAGAAGCTGAGATCTTAGGATCAAGGTTCAGAGCCAACAGGGATATTTCTACTTAACTAGCAAAAAGCATAACTAGAGGCACAGACTGCCCGCCATTAGTGCACTAATGACTTTTTTTATCTTCTTCAGGTCTTTTTTTTTCTTCTTCTTCTTCTTCAGGTCTTAAATACATGTTCCTAAGATTTAGTCTTAATAAAGTAATGTGATGGGTTTTTCTAAGATATTAAGTGAAAGTTTGGTCATCCCCAGAATTTATAAAACAAGCTCAGGTTAGAGGTTTCCTGAGGCAGTAGCCAAAATTATCTCAAGACACCATACTGTATATAGGTTAGCCACACATTGTTTTGTTTATATGTCTTTAGGTACATGCATTGAAAAAGGAATAGAAGGAAATATGCTTCACTGTTAAGGTTATACTTGTAGAGGAGAATTATGGAGGATTTTATCTTCAGAGCTTACAAGTTAACATGGCCATCTTTAGGAGAAAACAAAAGTAGTAGTCATCCATTTACAATCATGCAAGTATCTGTGATAGGTGTAATGGTATGCACTTATTTGGGAGGCTGATACAGGAAGAACATTTAAGCCCTAGAGTTTGAGACCAACCTGGGCAACATAATGAAATCTTCTCACATAAAAAATAGATCACCCATAAATCTTGCCCCTTTGAGTTGGTGGCTGAATTCATTGTGTGTCCATTTCCATGTATATTCCTTATTTGTGGGGAGTGCTGGGAATTAAACTTACAATCTTTCCTTTACTAGACAAGTTGTTGTCAGTTGAACTGTGCTACCAGTCTGTTCACTTGTAGTTTATGTTTTAGTTAAGGCCTCAATAATGTTTTTCCCAGGATGGCTTCTAGTAACAGTCCTCCCAAGTCTGTCTCCCAAGGGCTGGGATTACAGAAGTGTACCACCACATCTAGCTCTCTCCAACTCTTAAAAATAAGTATACCTGGGGCTGGGAAGGTGGCTCAGTGGTAGAGTGCTTGCCTTGCATGCATGAGGCCCTGGGTTCGATTCCTCAGCACCACATAAGCAGAAAAAAGCCAGAAGTGGTGCTGTGGCTCAAGTGGTAGAGTGCTAGCCTTGATCTGAAGAGCTGAGGGACAGCACCCATGACTGGCAAAAAATAATAATAATAATTTTAAAAAATAATAAGTATACCTTGAGCGTGTATAATAAATAATGATTTTAAAGCAATTTATGTATACTCTCACTTTGCATTTCAGGGGAAACCTGTGCTAATGGATAAAATTTGATTGTTTTTATTCTTAATTGTGTATGTTTATCTGCAGAATTAAAACAAGACTGCTTTATACTTTTAAAATACTTTAACACCTTTATAAACTAAAAAATAATATATATTTTTGAATTGGTTATGGGGCTTGAATTCAGAACTCAGGGCCTGGGCAGTATTCCTAAGCAATTTTTGCTCAAGGCTTGTGCTCTACCATTTTGAGTCACAGTTCTACTTCTGATTTTTGAGTATTTTAATTGGAGATAAGAGTTTCACAAGGACTTTTTAGCCTGGGCTAGCTTCACACCACCATCCTCAAATCTCAACCTAGGATTAGAGGTATGAGCCACTGGTGCCAGGCCACTAATAGTAAATTTTTTTAATATGCTAATGGTCCTAGTCTTTGGAACAGTAATACAATTATCCCTTACTATATTGCAGTTCACCTATTGCAGCTTTACTGTATCATGGGTTTTTTTTTTAACAATATGTAAATAGTGATCCCTCACCTATGTAGGAGTTACGTTCCAGAGGACCCCCAATCCCCTGCCCCACAATAGGTGAAAATCCGCAACATCTCAATAAGTGAACCATCATATAGCAAGGGACAACTATGTAACACTGCTACTTCACAGATTTTCACTACAGCAAGGTTCTCCGGAAGGTACTCCCACAGCAGGTGAGGGATCCTTGTACTGCTCTTCCACTTTATTCTATCATATTCAGTAATACAGTGTATCTTAAATTTTAAGACAGAGTTTCAGATCTCCTATATTTATTTTTTAAAGGGTTTTATGAAAGTGATTATTTAAAATTTTTTGTACTGTTTCTGTTACTTCTCTTTTCTTTCTTTTTTTCCCCCTTGGTTTATTTCCTGATGTCACTGTTTTTTATTTCTGTATCCTTTGTCTTATATATGTTTATTAATTTGGGGAGGAGAAGGAGAATCAGAAATGATGGAATAAAGGGTGAACCAATTCATCACTGACACTCACTAGACACTATGTTGGAAATGATCCTTACAACTTGAGGGGGTAGGGAGCCAGGAGAGGAAAAGTGGAAGAAAATCTTTCTGTTGAAAGAGAAATGTGCTCATTACCTGATTTATGTAACTAACCCCTCTGTATATCACTTTACAATAAAATTTAAGTTAGAAAAAATACAAAACTAAATATTTTTCAAAGTTCTGAGGGAAAATTCAATTATAAAATAATATTTATTCTGGGGCGTTCAAGTAAGGGATGTCAGAATTTTATACTACTGGATTAAAAAAATTATTTAGACCATTAGTTTTTAAATGGAGCTGAAATGAGTATGAATGGTATAGCTTTGATTACCTCAAATAGGCTAAATTATTGCCCATCCATAAGGAATTCAAAACTTTGCTCACACTAAGATAAATTCTTTTCTTTTGTAAGAGGAAAACATAAGGAAATTAAAATAATGAAGCATTAACATTCACTGAACACTTATTACGTATCAAGCACTATTTTCACTCCATTAAATGTATAATGTCATTTAATAGGCCCATTAAATATAGTGGTGTTAATATTCTCAGTTTATAAGAGAGGAAAATAAACAGTTTTAGATAAGATTTTAGATAATTTTACCAAAATTATTTTTTGTAGCCTACAGTTTATCAGAAGTTGAGATCTGTAAAATAAGAGGTAGTCATCGACCCAAGTATTCCTCAGTATAACCAAACAGTGAGGTTTCTTCAACTTTGATGTATTTCTTCTTTGTCGGAGCAAGTTTTAAGGTGTTTATGAATGCAGGGCAATTATTCTCAGCCTAACTAGGCACAGAAATGAAATGGACCATCCTGGAAGCAGAAGGATTAACAAACCTGAGGGAAAGCCCTCAGCTAGAAACCTTGTTCTTCCATATTGTAATAATAAAGTCATCATGTCATAAAAGTGAGACGAGAAGAGAGTTCCCTTTGATAGCAGTGAAAAATATCCAGCTTCTTCCTGTTCAAATGTTTATGGCATTCCTTCTCATTTTTTCAAATGTGTTATTTCATCCACACAATATACTGAGTGGGGGTTCTGTCACATCTCCAGAAAATCTTTCTGAGAAAGTTTGAAGACAAAGCCATTCTTTCTTTTTAAAGTAGAAACAAAAAGTGCTGCTTTCTTTCTTAGGTGTGTCTAAGTCAGATTGTGTGTTTGGATCCCCTTCGTCTACCCCTTTGACATCACCTGGTACATTTGGTCAGGTAAACAAAACTTAAAGATTAAGAAGGTAGTCTGTCTGTTCTGATTACTCACCCAGCATTCCTAGAATGCTCCTTCCTTCTAACTCTCACTTGTCCCTCCTGCAGTGCCTTGGATTGTACTGTGTGGTGAGGCTTGCTGGGCCTTGGTGTCTTTCCAACTAATTGAAAATCTTGCTGCTCATGTGCCTTCTTCCACCTCTCTTTGGTTTCCATTTTGAGGCTGTTTCCAATGAATGCTCTTTCTTTTGATTTTGTAAACTAGTCTTGTTTCATTTTTTAGGTAGTGCTTTTACATGAAGACAAAAAGAAACAAAAAACATCTATATTTTTGAGTCCCCAGTCAGGTATGTGGATTTTAAAAACAATGAGAACCAAAACCAAATATGTGTTACTCTATTTCTGCAAAATTTACCACATACCTTTGAGACTTTGACAAATCATTTAAACAGAAATGGGACATCTGGGGACCTTTAAAAAAAGCAATCCCCTACTCCATCTTCATTTCCTAAGTCTGACTCTTCAGTACATAAGCCCAGGCCTATGCTGTTTTCAGATGTCCCATGTGATCCTGAGTAAGAACTGTATCCTTAACTCTGTATATCTGTCCTATACTTTTGGTTTTTGCTTTGAAATTTCTGCTGTCTTGAAAGCAATGTGCTTGCCTGGAGATTGTTTGCCATGCTCTAAAGTTCTAAGGAAAGAGTCTGAACTCCTCCATTCTTTACCTCTCAGCTATTTCATGTATTAATCTTTCACTATATATATTGATCACCCCTCCCCTTTTTGACTAGCCTCAGCACTGGATAAATTGCAGTGAATTGGCAAAGCCCCTTCTCTCATTTATTATTTTTATTATACAATAAAGATAAATCATAAACAAGTATTAAAAAGGAGCAATCGTGTGGCAGAAGATGACTAAAACAATAGAAAGCAGGGATTGGGAAGGAGAAGCAATCAAAAGAAACATAGACCATGAGGAAATAGGAGTTAGACCATTATGTGCAGACTTAAAAACCGTTCTTGTTCCCCCACATTACTAAGGCCCTTTGGCAATGTGAGACGGGGAGGGAGAGTTAGGAGTCTGTATTACAGAGTGGATGGATCTGGATTCTGAAGCTCCTTTTAGCAGTTGAGGGATTGGAATATTTTTCTCTAAATGAGATTAAAAGCTGAGCGCCTTGAGCCTAAGAGTGATAAGTGACATCTGTTTTAAAAGATAAGCTATGGCTGCTGTATGAAGACTAGGGTGGAGATTAAGAAACTATAAGAGACTGCCACATCACTTCAGGAAAAAGTAATTTAGACTTGGGTAGAGATGATAGAGGTAGTGAGAATTGGTAATATTAGGTTCTGTGTATTCTGAAGGTAGCACCAACAAGATCTGCTGATGAATTGGGTTAAAGTATGAGATGAAATGAGTTGGATGACACTATGATATTTGAAAGAACAAAGGTCTGTGTTAGTGAGGAAAGACAGGATTTGTGGGAAGAATTTAAAGTCAGTTTTACAATCACAGGTTTAAGATAGCTGTGAGTTACCCACTAGGGATGTTGAATATTTTTCTAGCCCATGGATTCATGTTATTGCACCTTGGGAGACTCAGAATGCTTCAGGGCTCTTATCTCTACTTTATCTCTACTTTGAATTTCTTCAGATTTAGATTTGTCAATACCAAGCTTAATTTTCTCAAGTATATGTCATGATCTAAATGGAGCTAGGCATTTAAAATATGGTGTTCTTTTGTTTTAATGACTAAGGAAATATTAAAATAACATAGAATTTCTTTACAGTTCAAAATTGAAAGACATGAGGGTTGAGATTGGTGTGTAGGTCAGACTCAAAAGGAAAATGATGTACATGAAAGATAAGAAAGGAGTAATTGAAGTCTTAACCCTAACCCCAATCCTAATTGGTTCCCTCACCTTAAAACATCAGGGCAAGTATTTGTTAGGAATGTTTTTAATAGTTCTCAGTGGGCTACATAAAGTTAATAAGAGTTCTGCTGAGTGACCCCCCCAGATCCAGGATCCTTTAGGTGGTAGAGCCCACCTAGAGGAAGGTTGATTGATTAGGAGAAGAAATGGAAGCTAAATCACAATCCAGTAAACTGTAGGAGTGACTTTACCAGAGGAAAGGAAACAGATATCACTAGTGAAAGATTTTTTTCCCATAGATCCTCTGAGACTTTGAAAATCAAAAGAGATACCAAAAACAATGTTTTTACATATTTGGCCCTGAGCAAATATTGCCAAGTATTTTCATTGGATAGCACATAAAGGGATCAGTGTTTATGAACATCAGTGTTATAATCAAATTATAGGAGTGTGAGTTCTGGCTTTGGGATGTTGAGAAACCTCTTTACCAGGCACCTGTCTTCATTTCATTTCCTCAACTATAAAAAGAGGGTAATACGTAACGGGTATGAATGTTAGAAAATTTATGAAAGGCACTTGGAACAGTACTTCAAAGATAAGCACCAAGGGCTGGGAAGGTGACTCAATGGTAAAGCGCTTGCTTTGCATGCCAGAGGCCCTGGGTTCCATTCCTCAGCACCACTTAAGCAAAAAGAAAAATGCTGGAAGTGGCGCTGTGGCTCAAGTGGTAGAGCGCTAGCCTTGAGCTGAAGAACTGAGGGACAGCGTCCAGGCCCAGAGTTCAGGCCCCACGACCGAAAAGATAAGCACCAAAAAAAAAAAAAGGCTCGAGCTGGGCGCCAGTGGCTCAGGCCTGTAATCCTAGCTACTCAGGAGGCTGAGATCTGAGGATCATGGTTCAAAGCCAGCCAGGGCAGGAAAGTCCATGAGACCCTTATCTCCAATAAACCATGAGAAAACCAGAAGTGGCGCTGTGTCTCAAGTGGTAGTGAGCTTGCCTTGAGCTGAAGAGCTGAGGGACAGCTCCCAGGGTGAGTTCAAGCCCCACTACCGACAAAAAAAAAAAGGCTCACGGGGGTAGTGATTGCACTTAACATTATTTCTGAGTATTGTCAAATCTGTAAGGTACCAGCATTGGTCTTGAAAGTAGAACTCCACCATAAAGCATCACTAATTTACTACAGGCAAAAATTGATTATAATATATGCTACTTTATACCAAAACAAAAGATTTGTAATTGGCAAAATTTTACCCTTTGCAATAAATTAATCTCTTCAAGTATGTGGTAGATTAGAATACATTAATTATACTCAAGGAAGAGTTTATTGTGACATTTCCAAACATGTATATCATATATCCCAGTCAAATTCAAACTCTCTTATTTCTTTTCATTTCTCCTCTCCCTTCTTAAAACAATTTCTACTGGTTTGTTGTATTTTTGTACATTCAAATAAACTACTTCCATCTTATTCATCCTTCTGCATCAGTTTCATTAGTCCTACCCCTTCCCTTTAGTATTTACTCCCATAACAGCCTATTTTACTTTCCTGTCATTCTTTATTTTCTTTAGTGGGTATCAATTGCACCAAAGGGTTTAACTATGGTATTTCATAGTGTATATATTGTATTTTAAAAAGAATAGCAGTCTCTACTGCTTTCTTTCTCTCTCCCCATAATCTCCTATTGACCAGTAGCTTTCTTTGAGATACTTAATGCCATCTTCATGCATAGTTGCATATTTCTTTCGCTCTCTCCCCTGAATCCCTCAGAACACTCAGAAGCGTGTTCTCTGTGTGTATATGTATATGTTATATACATATGTAAATACGTATGCTAGATTTTATGGCATTTTATTGAATATAATATTCTACAACCTTTTTCATTTCTAATTGCCAAAAATTTTAAGTTTGTATGTATGTTTTACTATAAATTATTTTTACAGTAGTCTGCCATCAGAATACCAGGTATTTTATATTTCCACTAACCAATACATGAGCATTTAAGTTTTGTCTGGTTATTTTCTGTTATAAGGCCTCTTCTTGTACTGAAGGGAGAGACTCCTCTTGTACTGAACACATGTGAGATTTTATTGGTGATAACATGTGGACATGTGGGTAAGATACTATCAAATTACCCTGTTACTGGCCTGCACAATTGTAGCTCTCACCAGCATTTATGTGAGTTATTGCCATATATCCTTAGAACTTCTTAACTTTAAAAATTTTTAATTAGCCGGGCACTGGTGGCTCACGCCTATAATCCTAGCTACTCAGGAGGCTGAGATCTAAGGATCGCGGTTCAAAGCCAGCCCGGGCAGGAAAGACCGTGAGACTCCTATCTCCAATAAACCACCAGAAAACCGGAAGTGGCGCTGTAGCTCAAGTGGTAGAGCGCTCGCCTTGAGCTGAAGAGCTGAGGGACAGCGCCCAGGCCCAGAGTTCAAGCCCCACGACAACAAAAAAATAAAAATTAAAAATAAAAATTTTTAATTTTCACAAATCCAATGACTGGAAATATTTTGGTGTTGCTCTCATTTGCTTTTTCTTAACTCTGGTAATGCTAAGTACATTTTACATACATTCATGCCATTTTTCCTCTCTCCTATATTGTTTATGTTTTTCTTAGTTATCTGTTGATTAGGAGTCCTTTAGTTATGTGCTTAGGAAATAATTATCACAATTTTATAGATAATTACTACTGCTTACATTTTGAATTTTTATACTTAACATTTAACCAGAAAATTACTTGAAAATAAGTAAGGTATGGTATGGTTTGAAGAAAGAACTTTCTCCCCATCACAAATTTAATATTTAACATAACACTAGTTATTGAGTAGCCCCCTCCATTGGTTTGAAATGTAATTTAACTTTCACTATATAACTTCTGTGTTGTTGAACAATTTATTCACACTCTGTAATTGTAACTACCCTGTGATATGGTTTAATTAGTAATCCTCATTCCTGTCCTTTACTTGTAAGTATAATAATTTTTTTCCTTTATACCGATAAGTTCTACACTTTTACCATTTAAAGCTTCATAACTGCATAATAATGATGGGTAATACTTATTCTTGGCCATGAGCTCTCTGTAATTTATTCTGTCTGCTAGGTTGCAAATAAGGACAATGATCTATACAAAGAAGGGTTTAACAAAGTTAGGTTCATCAGTCCTCCACATCAATGTAGTAATAGTGAACATTTAGATATATTTAGAACAATATCACTCTAGCAACTTGTCTGAATTTAGAAAGGCATGAGTAAGAGCTGCACACTGTTGGCTCACACCTGTAATCCTAGCTACTCAGGAGGCTAAGATCTGAGGATCGAGGTTCATAGCCAGCCTGGGCAGGAAAAGTCCGTGAGACTCTTAAATAAACCACCAAAAAAATGGAAGTGGCGCTGTGGCTCAAGCAGTAGAGCGCTCGCCTTAAGCTAAAAAGCTGAGGGACAGCGCGCAGACCCAGAGTTCAAGCCCCACAACCGACAAAAAGAAAAAGAAAAAAAAAAAGGCATGAGTAAGCATAGTTTAATCATATACAATGTGCTTTTTAAAATCTTCCTACTTTGTTTAGAACAAGTGACTATTTTTAGAGTGGCAAGTTTCTATAAATAATTATAAAGGAATTTTGTGGTTGTTTTGATAGATTAAGGCTTGTTTCATTTACATTTGGGTTTTGTTTTGTTTCATTTTCTCCTCTAGGTAGCCTTTCCAGTAAATACATGACTCAGGGAAAAGCCTCCGCGAAGAGGACCCAGCAAGAATCATGAGGGAAGGAAAATGCAGCGCTCTAAATGGCCACTCAGGCATCCCTATCCACATGGAAAATTAGGTTCATTTCACAGGACTTAGCAGCGTAGATCAGGCTTCAACTTAACATTCAAGGGAAATGTTGGATTTTTTTTTAATTTAATGAAATTGTTAATGAGGAAAAAAATTTTAATATAATCTCACCTACCATCAATCCCCAGAGATTTACAGATTTTAATAGAAAGCCACGATGTATGTACTTATGCCAAGTTAAAAGAAAAATGTAACTACAGGCTAGTATTCAGTGAATACAGCTTCACAATGTTTTAAATTTTTTCAAAGCATACTAAAAAGGGTGTGCTGATAAATTCCAAGTAAATCAACCTTTTATTTCCCCTATGAATCCCTTTTTTTGTTGTTTTGTTTTGAAGAGGGGAAGTTATATTTATTGTTGTTTACTGAATCCTTGTATGGAAACATATGAACTATATGTGAACTGCTACTGCTGTACTTAAGATCTGTAAATGATTTTATTCTCTTTGTAGAAATGGTGGCAACACAAATGTGTATCTCTGTGCACCCTAAGTGGGGCCCACTGCCACAGAGACATCTCTGGATGTTTCTCTTGCTAATTGTAAGTCAATTGACATAAAACTCTACTATACTCATAAAAAAATGAAGTCAGGAAAATAAGTAGTCCTGTTTGCCAGTAAAAAGCATTTTCAAGAGAAAAATGATAGAATAAAAAAGTGCTTTTTACTTTTTATAATATTCAGAAATTAAGGTGGAGAGCTTTTCAAAACTTCTGATGAAAATAGAGGCCATCTCTGCCAATCATAACTAGGTTGGTATCATTCTGGGTCTTAACTAGAGCCCTCTTGGAACTGTTTCTCTTAACTTCCACAAGCTTTTCTGAAATACTACATGATCAGAACTATGCCTCGGTTTATTTATCATTTTGAAATAAAATCAAACTTTCAACCAGTAGTTTTATCTACATTTACTTTGTAATGACAGTCTTAAATTTTATTAGGAATATAAATGAAGAAGGTTAGAACAGTGCAGATTTTATCCTTAGTCTAATGGGAGGTTCTCTTTGACATGTGATTAGCCATATTGTTTTATAATCTGCCTCAGCCAGGCACTAGGAAAACAAGTAGAAAAGACACCAATTGAAGGGATGCAAAGTGTTCCCTGTGAAAGTTATGTTGAAAAATAAAATTAGTGATTGTCACAGTTTGAACACAAAACCATGAATTGCACAATATGGACTGACCCTATTCTCTGTGACTTTCCTCAGCTGCTGCTGGCATTTTTCAGAGCCTCACTCATGGAAGTAATGAGACTTATAATTCTGGTCACCCTTTCCTTGAAAAGCTATTTTGTTGTCTTCTGGAATTGTAGCAGAAGATAAATAGGAGACAAGCCTGATTTTTGCTTCTTTGTAGGTTTTTTTGTTTGTTTGGTCATGGGGCTTGAACTCTGGGCCTGGGCACTGTCCCTCAGCTCTTCTGCTCAAGGCAAGCACTCTGCCACTTGGGCCACAGCGCCACTTCTGGCTTTTTCTGCTTATGTGGTGCTGAGGAATTGAAACCAGGGCCTCATGCATGCAAGGCAAGCACTCTACCACTGAGCCACCTTCCCAGTCCCTTTGTAGGTTTTAATGTTTCTGTATTTTTTACTCAGCCCTAGAACTAAGAAACTAAATTGCCTCCATTTAGAAATATGTCTGTCTAGCAAATGAAAAAAAAGTGAATCTTCCTCATTGTTTTAAAATTTGAAGAAAGTGTGATTTAGTTTGTGATAATTTTTGTTTTTCCTCAGTATCCCACATCTTTTCATTGTGCTAGAAAAACAAATTGAATGTGCACATGACTAGCTTGATTTTTAATGCCACCATCGTGTTGGTATTTCTAATTCTTTTGTGAATGTTGTCATTTTATTAATAATTTTCTTAAACTTACCCTTTTGCTTTTATTCTTTTGAGTTTACACACCTACATTTTCTTTATTGGGGATCTTCTGTACTTTCTTGCCTTTTTAGGATGTTACAATTTTCTGCATTTTCTTCTGATTCCTGTAGTAGATTTGCTTAATGCATTGGGGTTGTTTGTTTGGTGAGTGTGGTTTTAGGGTTGTTTTTGTTTGGTAGGTTGTTTTGTTTTGTTTTGAGGTAGGGACTACCTTTGAAACCTGTGCTGGACTAAAACTCAATGTGTAGCTTTGGCTTAGCTTGAATTTGTGATCCTCCTGTCTTAGCCTTCTGCACATACCTGTATATGCACCAATTTCAGATTTCTGATTTCAGATTCCGCATACAGGATCTGTGAGACAATAAGCAGTGTTTTCCAGCAGACATAAACAATAGGTTGCCCTTGTCTGCTGGGATCCTGGACACAGCCTTTCTCTGGGCAGTTATGGTGCAGGTGCATATGCTCCCTCCAGATTCCAGTTCTCAGGGTGAATGAAACTATCTTACAAATACTGCAGGCTGTCTTAAGAAGTGCCATTAAGTGCCCACAACCACAGTTCTGTTAAGAACAAACAAAATTAAGTCCATATTTTAAACAGTGGTCTCCAAGACATATTCTACACTTTCAAAATCTCTTGCCCAGTATTGACAGTATCAGCAATGTCAAAATTTTAAAACAATTTTTATACTTTTATAGAAAACAAGTCTATTTTTGCTTCTATTTTAAAGAAAAAAAACATGTTTACCAGGTGCAATAAAATCCTGGTTAAACAAGTCAGTTAGTGGGGTTCACACACAGACACACATTTAAAGTTAAGTTGAAAAGACAGTTTCACAGCTCCTCACCTATATAACTTCAAAGTGCTCAGAACCGTTTCTTTGAACCAAGTCAGTCTTGTTTGGTCAACTGTGATTCCATAACACTGCACACACTTTTCAAAAGTAGGACTCTATATTTTGGCAGTGCCTGGCCACGCCAGTTTGCCAGCTATAGTGCAAGACCCCTGACTGGGCAGTTCCATTTTCCTGTCAAATGGAAATCACCAGTACCCTTGCAGAGTCAAAATGATGGAGTGAGATTGTACTAAGTAAGCAGGTTTTGAAACCTCCAACTATGAAGCATTTTTGATACGGCATTAACTGTTTACTTAAAATGAACGTATGTAGAGACCTAAAAGTGGTTATAGCTTGCAAAGCCCAGTGTTTCCCACACCCACCTCATTTCTGCTCCCCTGGACAGCTGTTCTGGTGAGATAAACATGAAAGCCTGCCCCCAAGTACCTAGTTGTTTACAGGCCCTGTGTCACTTTCAAAGGACAGTACCTAAGTCTGATCTACTAACAGATGGTGACTCAGTGCTTATGGGCCAAACAGCTAACCAAGTAAATTAAGCATAGGAAAGACTATTAAACATTGGATCCTGACACAGGGAATTTAAAAGTAGATTTTTTTAAATAGCATCTATTGCAGTGAACTAAGAGATCTGAGTTTAAACGTCATAACAGCATATTTTCCAAAATTAGGCAGCCATCTGTTGTAACATGTAAGTATAAGGGTTTAAATAAAAAGCAGTCTCTGGTGTTTTTTGTTTTGTTTTGTCTTTTTCTCTCCAGGGCTTCACATTTCCCGGCATAAGCACTGTATCATTCATTTAAAACATGCTTATAGCCCACTCCCCACCTTTTATTTTACGAAATAGTTCATTCTATAACAAAACACTGAGCAAAGATACTACTCAGCACTGCGCTGCAGCGCCCTTTCTGCCATTTTAACCTGATTTCTAGCCTTTCCGTAGGAATGTCACCTGCCCTGTGTTAACGGCTGCATTTCTAATAGAAGACAACCCGCTGGTGCTCAAGAATGTTAAGAGGCAAAGCTTATGCCCTTGAGCAGCCAGGACAAGGTGACGGCCGTGTCACCCCAGTCCGTACTCGTTAAATGTGATGATCCGCAGTGCTGCCGGAACGGAGACGGTCCGAGTCACCATCCCGCAGCTCCCTTCGCGGTGCCGCGCCCGGAAGCGCCCTAGCGGGACCCAAAACGGGAGTGAATGCCAGTCAACGGGCCCACACTGCCTTTCCAGCACATAAACGCCAGGTTCTTCTGCGCTCAAAGGCCACCACAGCCGGCCACTGCTGGCTGATGGGAGCGCTGAAGCAGGCGACGGGGCCGCACGACGGCCCGGCAGGGTTTTGCTGCCCATCGCTAGCCCTCAGCTGTCTTCCTCCGGGCCGCGAGGCAGCCCGTGACAGCCCGGCTTCCTCCGCCGCTCCGGCGCCCGCCAGGGGTCGGAACCCACGGGCCTCGCCGCGCGCACGGTCCGCCAACCGCGCGCCCCGCTGGGAGCGAGGCCCGAGCCCGCGCGTCACTCACGCGGCCCGCCCAATGGCGGCAGCGGATGGGCGGCAAGGGGCGGCGCATGGGGTACGTGCGCAGGAGGTTGTGGCGTCAGTGCGCCTGCTGTGTCCATGGAGAGAGCCTGCAGGGTCTGAGCTCGGCCCGAGGTGCCGGGACGCCGGGACCGCGGGACGGCGAAGATGTCGGCCTCGTTAGTCCGGGCTACTGTTCGTGCTGTGAGCAAGAGGAAGCTGCAGCCCACTCGAGCCGCCCTCACTCTGGTGAGTGCACACGGAGTGCGGCCGGGCCCGTGACATGGGCCCTTGCCCTATTGTGGATAGGTCGCTGGCCGGGACCCGGCGACTGGGGCGCCAACCCGTGAAAACACGGGCTCGTTCCGCAGCCGCCGCGTCCCCACTTCCCAGTCCCTCTCCGACTGGTAAACAAGCTCCGGGCGGAGCCGCCTAGCAGGCGCCCGGGACTACAATTCCCGACAGGCCCTGCGCGGCGGCCCTGCGCGCCCCACCCCCGGGGGGAGGGGAAGCGGTGTCAGCTGGAGGACAGCGCCGAGGCCTCCGAGGCCTGACGTCTCCTCAGATTTCTGAGGTGCAGGGTTGGGGGGATGGCAGGACGATGCCCCAGAAGTCCTACCCCCGGGCTGTGTGGGGAGGGTGAACGTTCTGGAAGCCTCTCCCAGCTGAGAACCCCGCTAGGCCACACGCAGGCTTACTTCCGGTGTCCTCAGTGTCCAGGCCTTTGAAAACACTATTTGTGCCCTTTGTACAACCTGGGTCTTACAAAGGACAGGGGATGAAGATTTTCAGGCCAAATGCACAGCGTTTTCTGGGAGAAAGGTCAAACTCAAAGGGCCATAAAAACCGACCAGAAACAAAATTCTTGAGCATACTTAGTCCTCTGTCATCTTTTATTAGTCGAGGGGAAATTCACAAGTGAATCTGAGGATTCACTTGAATAGCAATAAATTCGATCACTTTTATGTAGTTCTACTACATTTCACTACAGTAGGCAAGCTTAGGATCAGTTCATCATTCTCACACCTTAGTTAAGCATTTGCTTAGAGACTAAGGAATCCGATGGTTTTTGTGCAAGCACTTGCCTAGAGACTGGGGAATCTGGTGGTTAAATAAAGGCACCTCTTCCATGTAATATCACAAGAAGATCAATTGCCAGAACATTAGTGGAAGCAAAACAGAGGAAAGTCATGGTCAGGTGAGAGATTCATTTTTATAGATTTAGACTCTCAAGGTTATCTCTGTTGATATCATATATTTTTACTGTGCTTGCAAGCCTATAATTACCTCTGGAAGATATGTCATGAAATCTACAAGTATCCAAAACTTAAGAACTAGAGAACACAATTTAGACTTTGTGTTGCATTTTTAGTTTGAGTAAAAATTACTCAAGATTCAGAATTCCTCCAATGGCAATGATAGATTCAGAAAAAAAGCAAAGGGTTCAGGGACAGTTTTGTTCCCTTTTCTAGTGTCCATCTCTGTTTGGCATATTACCTGCTCTTTCAGAATTTAAACAGGGAGAGAACTCATGTTTCTTTTAGAGCATGCTCTTTTGACCTGTTCACATTAAACAAAGATTATACATGCATCAGATTTTAATTCCAGTGGTATTCTTTTTTGGGGCGGGGGAGGTGGGGGGAGGTGTCTGGTCGTGAGGCCTGAACTCTGGGCCTGGGTGCTGTCCCTCAGCTCTTCAGCTCAAGGCTAGCGCCCTACCACTTGAGCCACAGCGCCACTTCGGCTTTTTTTTCTTTTTGCTTATGTGGTGCTGAGGAATCGAACCCAGGGCCTTAGGCATGCAAGGCAAGCTCTCTACCACTTAGCCACCTTCCCGGCCCTCCACTGGTATTCTTTTTTTTTTTTAATTTTAATTTTTATTTTTTGTGAACATACTGTACAGAGGGGTTACAATTACATGGGCAAGATAATGAGTACATTTCTTGTCAAGCATTGCAGCCTCCTCCTTTGTTTACCCTTCACATCCCTTCCCAGCCTCCCTCCAGTGGTATTCTTTATGGGAGTATCTTTTTCGTTTTTAACATGTCAGAAATCTTTATTTGACAGTAAGTTAATTTCTTCAGCATTCACATAGAAAATATACCCTGAAAATTTACAAATAAAAATTAAAATGCTGTCTTCCATTTGATTGCTACCTTTATTCCTGGTTATTATTGATTATTCATGAAACACTCCCCAGCAGACTGTACCTGTGTAACTATGATTACAGATATGAGCCACTGGCACCCAGCAGTATTTTCCTTTTTTTTTTAATGCTTGTTTTAACCTTTTCAGTTAGTTTTATGACCCATCTAAGGTGGGTCCACACTGTGTTTAACCATCATCTGGTCAAGATCATCAAGCCTCTATCCAGACAGAGGGGAGAACACACTCTAGGGCTATGGGATCTGCTTCTTGAGAACAGGCTAAGTCCTGACTAGTTTACTGCTAGATCAGAAGCCAGAATACTCAAATTTCAGGATTTCAAAAACCAGTGATGTTCAGACAAAAAAGTGGAGGACCAGCACAGCATTGTCAATAGAAACTAGGAAGTTCATTTTTTTCATTCTGATGTACTCTGTCTTTGAGATATAGCTAAGTGCCTGACACTATTCTAAATATTTTTTCCTCAATTTGAGTATTTAATCTTCACAAGAATCCTGAGGGGGAAAGATGATTATCATTATTTCACAGAAAGGAAGTAGGAGTTAGAAAAGCTGCTTAAAGTAATTGCCCTGTGGGCATACTTAGAAAGTGTTGTAGTAAGGCTCCAGTAGCCTGTTTCCAGAAGCTCCCCAAGGAGGTAGGAACACAAAGGTTTTTTTTTTTTTTTTTTATGGGGGGGGGGGTTCCTGTCGTGGGGCCTGAACTCTGGGGCCTGAGCGCTGTCCCTCAGCTCTGCAGCTCAAGGCTAGCACTTGAGCCACAGCGCCACCTCCGGCTTTTTTTCTTTTTGCTTATGTGGTGCTGAGGAATCGAACCCAGGGCCTCAGGCATTCAAGGCAAGCGCTCTACCACTGAGCCACTTTCCCAGCCCGTAACAGGTTTCTTGAACATGCATATTTCTCACATTTTTGAGGTATGGCAGAAACATAAATGGATATACTATCTTGGTCTTTAATGTCAGAATTTATTGAATAACAAATTCACAAGCTTTGTCAAGTTCAAAACTGTTAATTCACCAGTTAGAGCTAGATGGTGTCATAATACACAGTCACTGTGTATTATGAATTGAAATTCTGCCAATTGAAATTACAGAACAGAGATATGAGCTTACTCTAGATCAAGATGGAAATTTGAATAGGTCACATCAAGCAGAGTATGAAGTCCTAGTAACAGAGTTGAGTTTGTCACATGTTGATCCTTACCAAATGGTATGATGATTAGTCCATGTGTACCAGGTGAGGGAGTTTACATCAAAAGTTACTCAGATATTTCCTTGTTTGGGGCTTAGATTAAAATTATTGGTTTACAAAGTAATCGGTCAAAGCTCAGCACATCCTTAAAGCTGTAGTTCTATACATCATAGAATAACCCAGGGCTGGCCCAGCCTGTTTTCTTGTACAGAACCTCCTGGGGCATTTTTCTCTCAGGTAGGAGCACTGGGCTCCTTTCAACTGCATTCTTCCTAGGAAATAACACTTTTATTTCCGTTACTGACTAGTTTTATTGACTTCTGTTCACAGATGTTAGTTTGATTCACACTGAATCTGAGTGTTTAGCGGGACTGGTATTGAAAAATACAGTAAATATGTGTTTATATCTAGAAAACAACAGGAAAAACACCTGAAGGTTGGCTTTTCCATTGAGATACTTGATCCATTCATTATCTATTTGTGAGTCTTCCATGTCTGACAGTATGCTTGTTACTGAGCACACAATAAGTACATATATAAAATAGCTTATTCTCAGGAAAAATGAATTTGTGATGATACAATGAGAGAATAAAACTTTGGGCATCAGTGGCTCACACTTGTCATCCTGTCTACTCAAGAGGTTGAGGTTTGAAGATTGCAGTTCAAAGGCAGCCCAGGCAGCAAAATCAGTGAGACTCTTCTCCAAAATTAACCACCAAAAACCGAGAAGTAGAGATATGGCTCAAGTGGTAGAGCCCTAGTCCCAGGACTAACAAAAAAAAAAGTGTAACAGCTAACTTAGACTGGTCATCACAATTGAAATGATGCCAGTAGCAAATATTTTGACAAATTGAAATATTTTTGTTCATTAAATAGAACTCATCTGGGTGTAAAATCCCTTAGTTTGCCCTGGCAAAAATGGAACAAATTTGTCACATGATTTTCCTAAAAATAACCTTGAATAATCTTAAAGACTAATAAGTCTATTGCTTTGAAAATTTAAGTTTTTTTTGTTTTTTGTTGGCCATGAGGCTTGAACTCTGGGCCTGGGCACTGTTCCTGAGTTAAAAAGCGAATGCTCTACCACTTTAGCCACAGCACCACTTCCGGATTTCTGGTGGTTAATTGGAGATAAGAGTCTCTCAGCCAGGCGCTGGTGGCTCACGCCTGTAATCCTAGCTACTTGGGAGGCTGAGATCTGAGGATCATGGTTCAAAGCCAGCCCAGGCAGGAAAGTCCGAGAGACTCTTATCTCCAGTAAACCACTAGAAAACTGGAAGTGGCGCTGTGGCTCAAGCGGTAGAGCGCTCACCATGAGCTGCAGAGCACAGGGACAGCACCCAAGCCCAGAGTTCAAGCACTACAACCGACAAAAAGAAAAAAAAAGGGTCTCTCAGACTTTTCTGCCCAGGCTGGCTTTGAGCCATGATCCTCAGATCTCAGCCTCCTGAGTAGATAGGATTACAGGCGTGAGCCACTTGCATGTTTTTAAACTGAAAACATTTACTTTTTCAGACACCTTCAGCAGTCAACAAGATAAAACAGCTTCTTAAAGATAAGCCTGAGCATGTAAGTAAAGCCTATTTCATAGTTAGAAAAATATTTAAAGTTGTTTGGCAATATGTTTATTTTGGGTTAACACTATATTTTCATTCATTAGGGTTCCTTTCATTTGTTTCATTTGTTGTGTTAGAATTGATCCCAAGGCCTTATACTTGCATACTCCTACCCCAACTCAAGATTTTTTTTAAATTCAAATAATACAGAAAGGGGTATTCAATTTTTAAAAAGTTATTCTCAACCCTAGACTTTTTGTGTTGTCATTTGTCTTTTAAGAAACAGCTTCCTAATGTCCTTCCAGAGAACAGTCTGTACATTTGATATGGTGACCCCAGGATTTCTCAGCCTCCTCATGATTGGTGTCATTGGGTAGCTATAGGATATTTCATAGCATTTCTGGCCACAGCACATACATAAATTGTGACAACCAAAAATGTCTCCCTGAGTGGGAAAGACTGGTCTAAGTGATATTTGTTATTCTTACATCTGTCATATATGCTGTAGTTACGTTTTGATTTTATTCCAAATAAAGAAGACCTGTATATTCCATTGGATGGGTTAATTCCTTTTACCATTCCTTGGGTTGGAACTTGTTTGGATTGTTTTTCTTTACTACTGGGACACAATTATTCAACAACTTATTACTTTAGTGAGTAGGTGTGCTATGCCCATTGTTTGCCAGATCGTAAACATGACTTAGTGTATTCATGCAAGATCTGTTCCTGGATATGGAACTGTTATTAGGGGTATTTGTATTATCTTAATCATAGCGCATGGCTAGTAGTTCTTAGGATGTTTTTAATCACTTCAAGTAATTAATACTTAAATCATGAAATCAAAAGACTTCATTCATTCGTTCATTTATTCTGATGGTGGTTATGATGCTGGGAATTAAACCCAGGCCTTAAATATACTAAGCAAGTTATCACTGAGCTACATGCCAGGTTCACTTTTAAAACATCTGTATTCTTTTTTATCTTTGATTTTGACTGATGACATAAGTCTGCCTTAGCATTAAAGCTTTTTCATAGAAGCCAAGGAAGACCTGTGTGAACCTTAGGGAACCCTAAGGAATTTATCCAGATAACATCTTACAGAATGAGAAGTCTAAATTTACAAAAGATACCTCTGTTATCAGATACCTTTTCCTTTTCAAGCAAGTAGCTGGATCTGATGGCACATGCTTGCAGTCTTAGCACTTGAGAGCCTGAAGCAGGAGGATCATGGTTTCAAAGCCAGTAACATCTAAATATTGAGACCTTGTATCAGAAAACTCCAGTAACAAAAACGTGATTGCTTTTCTTTTCTTTTTTTGTTTTTTCATATGCTGGGGCTTGCACTCTTGCTTGGATTCTTTCTTTCTTTCTTTCTTTCTTCCTTCCTTCCTTCCTTCCTTCCTTCCTTCCTTCCTTCTTTCCTTCCTTTCTTCCTATCTTTTTGTCCAAGGCTTACACAGTACTCTTGAGCCACACCTCCACTTTTAGCTTTTTGCTCATAATTGGAGATGAGTCTTTTGGATTTTATCTCCTCAGCTAGCTTCAAACTGGTATCCTCAGATCTTGGTCACTGGTGGTGGTAGGCTTGATTTTTTTAATTTAAGTTTTTTATGCTAATCATGTCAATTCCAACTTAAGTGTTTACTGGTAGGTATCTAATAATGAAGAAAGTTAAGGTTGAGATTGTAGTTCAGTGGAGAGCACTTTGCCTACTATGTACAAGGCCTTGGTTTATTTTCAAGCCATGAAAAAAGGTAATTATACAGTGGAGTGTGATATGGACATTATTTGCAAGTGATAATTATGAAAGGTATAGGATGCATATTTTTGTCTTAATAAAAACAATATTTAGATTATGTGACTAGGATTGGGGAAAAAAGGAAAATAATATAAAGCTATTTTATGAAGCTAGTAATGATGTAGGATTTTTCCTCTGTAGTATTTTGTTTCCATATTATTTTCATTGTGTTTTTTTGGATGCCACTTTGTGAATGATTGCATACTAGTTACATATTTAAGATGATTGTTCCCTGTTGCATTTATACTTTCCCAAAGGGACATTTATAACTGGAAGTCTTAATGTTTCTCTTTTAGTTTATAAGAGAATGAATAGTAGTGATAAATAACCAAGGTTTTTATTAGTATAACTGTTTAATCTGTACTACTAAGTTTATATTTTTTAATTCTATTTCAGGTAGGTGTGAAAGTTGGTGTCCGTACCAGGGGCTGTAATGGCCTTTCTTATACTCTAGAATATACAAAGACAAGAGGAGATTCTGATGAAGAGGTTGTTCAAGATGGTGAGAGTTTTTTACAGACTTGTTCTGGACACTTAGTTTTACTGAAAATTTTAGCCTTGTGCATAATGAGAGACTGATAATAGAAGTAGGAATTGCATCACTAGTACTTACTATGTGACTGGTGGTTTTTAATGAACTTTTCTATATTATCTGGTTTATAAGCAGCTATCAAGGGAGGGTAGATACCATGTGATCCATTTTTTCTGATAAACTGAGATAAGGAGAGGTTAAATAGTTTGCCCAAGGTCACACAGTGAGAAGGAGCCTCCTTAAAACTCAAATGCAATCACTTTTCTCAAGAGGCTGTTCTCCTACAATGATGTTATTAGATAAATTGTTCATTTGTTTCAACTCTGAAAAGTCATCATTTTGTCTAAAAAGCTGGTTGGTTTGTGGCAAGATCTTGTTATCTAGCTCAATGTGCAGTTCTCCTGTTTTAGCTTTCTGGGATTATAGGTGGGTACCACTGTGCCCAATCTGAGAAAGGTTTTATGATCATAACATTTCAAAAACAATCTAACCATTTTGTGTGGAGCAGCAGTTTTACATATATATCACATAGGCCATACCAACGACTCATGTATTTAAATAATTTATTTTTATTAAAACTTTTAGTTATTTGACAACAAACAATAATTGTTTTAAATTACTTAATTCATTGTTTCTAAATTGAGTTTGACATCCCTATCTGTACCCAGTGATCTTGTAATACTGATTTAAGACAAGTTAAATAATGCTACAGTGTGAGGAGAACTTAGTTGTTACTAGTGTTTTCCGTAATCATGTGCATTTGGACACATGCATTCTTCCTCTGGGAAACTAAAAAGTGGATTTAGATTGTTTTTGTTCTGGTAGTACTTGGGTGCCTCCGGGCCTCAAGGCTTGCTTGCTTGACTGGTGTTTTACCACTTGAGCCACACGCCTCCAGTCCAGCTTTTTGCTGGTTATTGTGGAATTGGAGTCTCACAGACTTTTTTTTATCTGAGCTGCTATGAAACTACCATCCTCTGAATTTCAGAGGTAGAATACTAGCCTTGAATGAAAAAGTGAAGAGCACAAGCCCTGAGTTTAAGCCCTAGTACTGGCATTAGAAACGTAACAAGAATTTATTTCTCTGCCACTTGAGCCACATTTCTACTTTTGGGGTTTTGCTGGTTAATTAGAGATGAGTCTTACGGACTTTTCTGCCTAGGCTGGCTTCAAACCTTGGTCCTCAGATGTCAGCCTCCTGAATAGCTAAAATAGTAGGCATGAGCCACCCACACTCAGATTAAGTCATGAATTCTAAAGTAAGATTGTTGAATGACAGTGACTTAACAAGTAAAGATATATTTAGCAGCCAGCACCAGTGGCTGAGGCCTGAAATCCTAGCTGCTCAGGAGGCTGAGATCTGAGGATCCTGGTTCGAAGCCAGCCTAGGAGGAAAGTCTGTGAAACTTGTATCTCCAATTAACTACCAAAAATGTGGAAGTGGAGCTATGGCTCAAGTGGTAGAACACTAACCTTTTGCAAAAGATTCAGGGATAGCTCCCAGACCCTGAGTTCAAACCCCAAGATGGATATGGGCACATGCTTGCTCATGCATACACACACTCACACTCACACACACACACACACACACATACACATGCAAAAATATATTTAGCATGTTACTTTTAAGACAAATTTAAAATATAGACCTTTTTGTCTTACCAAAGAGAAACCCTGTAATTATTTATAGTTTATATTTACATAAGACTCAATTTCTTTTTTCTTTAATTTATTGTTATTATAGAGGTGGTATAAAAAGGGGTTACATTAGCCGGGTGCTGGTGGCTCACGCCTATAATCCTAGCTACTCAGGAGGCTGAGATCTGAGGATCACGGTTCAAAGCCAGCCCGGGCAGGAGAGAACGTGAGACTCCTATCTCCAATAAACAACCAAAAAACCGGAATTGGCACCGTAGCTCAAGTGGTAGAGCGCTAGCCTTGAGCTGAAGAGCTGAGGGACAGTGCCCAGACCCAGAGTTCAAGCCCCACAACCAACCAAAAAAAAAGGGGGGGGTTACATTTACATGCATTGAGTATTAAGTACAGTTCCTTTCTCTCCCATTCCTTCCCTCCCATCTCTACCCACAAGTTGTATAGTTGACTTTCGTCAATGTTCATGCACTTCACTGCTGCACTTATTCACCCTTTTTTCTCAGATTCTGTGCCCTCCCTCTACCCTCCCACATGTGAATATACTGTATAAAAGGTAAAGAATACAGAATCCTCAGAAAAAGAAAAATCCTTTGTTTCCATATCTTTGGCGTTTGTTTCAGTATGTATATGATTTTATATACATATGAAGAGGCACTTGGATATTGCACCTTTGTGATTCTCTCCTCTTTCCCTGTATGTATCAAGAATTTTGTATAATTTGTCATATCCCACTGTGCTTTAGATCTAACTTCCACATACCAGAGAGAACATGCTCCATTTAAGGCCCAGTTTCTTAGAAGAAAAACGTTTTTAAGTGATTGTATGTGACCAGGTGTCAAACTAGAGAATATCATATATTCACCCAGCATCAGTGGCTCACTCCTGTAATCCTAGCTACTGAGGAGGCTGAGATCTGAGGATCGCAGTTCAAAGCCAGCCTGGGCAGGAAAATCCGTGAGACTCTTATCTCCAAGAAAACTGGAAGTGGTACCGTGGCTCAAGTGGTAAAGTGCTAGCCTTGAGCTGATCTTCAGCTGAGGGACAGCACCTAGGTCCATAGTTCAAGCCCCACTACCAGCAAAAAATAAAATAATAATAATATCATATATTCTTCAACTTATAACTATGATATATAGTCTACTTATGGGAACTTATTAAAATTATTGTATGGATAATTCTGTAGTATCCATAGTTTATTATATGGTCTTATTAAAATGTCATAGAGTTAAGCAGTTTCGGATATATTTATGTTTGGCAGATGTCAAATATATACTTTCCACTACAAAGTTTCTATAAATTTTACTGGTTCTGTCTTTACAAAACGATTATTGAGAAACTACACATTTTCTTCATGTTGCAAGTTGAAAAAAAAATGAATGAAGTATAGGGAAAGAGGGAAAGGTAAATTGTGGTTTTGCACAGTTGTTAGGGAATTTACTTATGTAAAACTGTCTGCACTAATATACTCAATTTTGACAACTGTAGGAACAGAAGGTGCTGACAGAAAATTAGGTGCCTAATTACTCCCAAATGATGAAACCTGTTCAGTTGAATTGTTGTTTGATTGAATTGTTGATTACTTAATAAATTCACTTATGCCTTGAATAGGCAAATTCCAGAGGCTTCAGGCTTTTTATGACTCATCTTTTCCTTTTCCAAAGGAGTCAGAGTATTCATCGAAAAGAAAGCACAACTAACACTTTTAGGAACAGAAATGGACTATGTTGAAGACAAATTATCCAGTGAGTTTGTCTTCAATAACCCAAACATCAAAGGAACTTGTGGCTGTGGAGAAAGTTTTAATATTTGAAACATTAGGACTCTTCTGGCTGTAAACTCCAGGAAACCTTGAAAGTTGCTGAAGAAATCATGTGACTGTCCTGTGTCCGGTCTATGATGTGTGGCTGCATTATTGGGGAAATAAAGTGATGCATTTTCAAAATGAAGCTGACTGGCTAGAATCCAGAAGATATGATATTTATACCCTCTGTAGTGGACAGAATTAAGAAACCAGTGCTTGCTGAATTGTTTTTCTGTTCTGTATAGTAAAATATCCTGCCCTGCCTCAACTCTCTTAAATCCTTTGTTTGAAACTAGTTTCATTAAAGTTGATTTTGCTAAATATTTTGACGATGGAATCTCACAGACTTTTCTACCTACACCAGCTTGGAGCCAACACTCTGGAACTCAAACTCCTGGGAGGCTAATATTATAGGTGTGAGCCATCAGTTCCTGCCTTAGATCCCTATTAAATGGCTTGAATGTGCATTGGCTTGAATGTGCATTTGCCATGCCATTTTTTTCCAACCATTTGGTGGCTCTTAAATTCAGAATCAGGGAGTATTGACTGCTGATAATAATGTCTTTTCATACCCAAATTTGGTGTGGCCTTTATATACCCTTTCATTGAAAATTTCCTTGTCAGCTGCTTCAGGAGGCTCTTAGAGGCAGGAGCTAGCTTTTTGAAACCATTTTTAATGCAGACTGAGTCTCAAGCTGACTTTGATCATTGTCACTGGGGGTCTTTTAAAGCTTTCAGCCTGACGCCTTTTCTGTGTACTGGGCTTTTGTCCAGCTACTCTACAAGCTAGGGGATAACACTTCTGTTCCCATCTCTTCCTTACACATGCATTCTGAATAATTAGTGATGTAAATGCTGATTTGGCTTCCTCGTGTAACCAACATTTTGAGAGAGCTTGTAATTTGACTATGGAAAACCCTTTTATGTGAATTGCCATCTTGGTGTTTCAGAACTTAGAAACAATAGTTCTTATTTAAATAGCAGCCCAGAAGTACTTTTGGATTGTACTAGAATTTGAGAAGCAGAACAAGGAGCTCTCTCTTAAAATTCCATATAATTTTTTTTTCCTATTTCTAACTTCAGTTGCTAAATTTTGGGGACGTGAGGGCATTGTTACAAGGTCTGACTACATAGTGCAGGCTGGTCTTCCAACTGTCAATCATCCAGCCTCAAATTCCTAAGAGCTGGGATTACAGGTGTGTGTCAACACATCCAGCTTGCATCTTTCAGTTGATGTATTCTGAATATTTTATATAAATAGATTATTCCAATATACACTTTTCTGTAACTTCTTTCACACTCCCTAACATTTTAAAGATTAGAGGTAGGGGTGGGAGATCATGTTCAGGAACAACCTGGAGGTGGGTAGGGGCTATTCCTTCAAGTTGGGTGCTCTGATCTTGCTGTCTGGCTCTTCCTTCACTGGTCTGATCAAAGAGAAGACAAGAGTGTGATTACCTTGCCTGAAGCTATGAAAACGTTCTTGAGTTCTCCTGGATGGCAAAAAGGATGATGATGGAGAAAGGACAAAGGGAAAGAAAGAAAAGTGTTTAAAGTAACAAAAAATCTTGTGTAAGCAAAAAACTGGTTACTAAAGTAAATTACTGGATAAAAATTGTGAGCATATTTAGATGTCTATTCCCATTACATTTTTCCAGTGTTAGTTTTGCTTCTTTTTCTTGGAAAAAATGAGCACTTCTAACCATCTGGTTGCTTCCTGAAGAAATGAGTGGTATTATGGAATTGTTTTGGGTTTTGGTTTGGGGTTTTTTTTCCTGATAGAAGGCATGTACCTCTTTAAAACCTTTATTTTACTTTATTTGTGGGGCGGAGGGGAAATAATGGGACTTGAACTCAGAACCTCAAGCTCTTGCTTAGCATTATGTGTGTGTGTGCACATGCACACACACATGCTGGTTCTGATACTTGAACTCAGGACCAGTGTGCTGTCTGTCCCTAAGCTTTCTTGCTCAAGGCTAGTACTCTACTACTTGAGCCACAGTTCCACTTCTGGCTTTTTTGTGGTTAATTGGAGATGAGTGACTTTCCTGCCTGGACTGGCTTGAATCTTGATTTGAACCTTGATTCTCTAAACATCTGCCTCCTGAGTGGCATAGATTTACAGATGTGAGTCATCAGCTCACATGGCTCCATCAGTTTTTGCCAGTCATCTTGATAATAGATCTTAATAGTAGTTTTGCACAGGGAAGATGTGCAGAAAATCTTTCAATGAAATAGTAGGCATATAGCCAATGGAATTACATAGGATTATAGGATAGACTATAATCAACATGATGTCAAACCAAAATGGAAAATACATATTTGACACCATAAGAAACCCAAGAAATCCAGTTAGTTCAGCATCTAGACCATCCAAAATGGATGTAATTTCTATATTTCTTTTAACCAAGTAGACTTATCTACTAATTTATATTAGCTTTTACCTGAGAAGTATTGCTATTGGTGTAATAAGACATTAGCAATAACAACATAATTCCCTTTCTTACTCAGCATGTAGTTCAGAGCCATTCGATTACTCAACATTACTTGTGTAAGGTATTCAAGGAACACTTTGAAAAATTCAATTTGAATATTATGGACTAGTAAGTTATCCTTCCAACCTACACAATGGATAAAAAAACTAGCAAATTAATAGACAAAAATTATTATCCTCTTTTTTTCTGAACAAGAATCATTAGGGTTTCTGATATATGGTGGCTCTCCCTTTAGTATTTTGATGTAATAGAGTTGTAATGATTCTGTCTCGCTTGATTCTTTCATCACATGTGATATACCAACAGCTTGTTCCAGATAACTTCAAAAGAGTAAGTTGTCAGGAGCACATTGTAAGGGCTTTTCCATGTTTTTCCAGTTGTTGTTCAAGGCCTTATTCTTTCCAGCTTTTCAGAAGTGCTCATCTCATTTCCTAAATGTTTGGAGGGGTGTTTCCAATTGTGGAGGTGACCAGAAAGGATATCTCACACTATTTAATAGGGATTTCATTTGAGCCTACTTCTATGCAAAGAAGAGCAATTAGCAATACCCTGTCACATTGAAGTGGGGGGTCTAGGGGCATTTGGGGCTGTAGTTTTTAGTGTATAACATGTTTTCAGTTTTTCCAGTAGGTTATGCTTTCAATGACACATGCAACATTCAGTTAATGCCTAAGACTACTTACTTGATGGATAACTTCTACCACAAAAAAGTGTCACTTTTGAGTTCATGGTGGGAGCAACATCTTTATCACTTCTGATAACTCCTCAGTTCAGATATAGTTAGCCTCAACTCACCCAGAAAAGGTAGCAAATAACACTGACAGATACTTAAAGTTCCAGTGGTCTTTGGCATCTGATCGAAATTCATTTGCCAATCTTTAAAGGGATGTTCTTTTATGTATTGGGTTCCCTTTTCCAGGCTTTTCTTTCTGTCTTAGAGTTATTCAGGGCATATAAGCAAGAGTTTGGAGGGACCTGATATATCACTTGTAACTGGAGTTCCTGCAAATAAGGTCAGATGAATTCTATCAATGCATCATTACCATAATGTATGCCCTCATGTTTCACTCATGGCAGAATTAGTGCCTTGGGCAAAAGAATAAGTTCATAAGAACTTTCCCTCTACTTTGAAGTGCTATCCCATTCATTGAAACCCTATTCCTGGACCTGTTTTTCATATTCTTCAGTATACTGAGGTTCATGTACATCTAAATCTATAAGGAGTTCTAAGGCTCTAAGAACCTACTTACATTTGACAGCCCACTTTTCTGCTTTTTCAGCAACCTGATTCTATTGAGTAACTATATGTATAAACTTTATTATACAATTTATATTACATTGTTATGTAATTACATAATTATAGTATATACTTTAATATATAATCATAGGGCTGGGAAGGTGGCTCAGTGGTAGAGCGCTTGCCTTGCATGCCTGAGGCCCTGGGTTCGATTCCTCAGCACCACATAAGCAAAAAAGAAAAAAAGCCGGAAGTGGCGCTGTGGCTCAAGTGGTAGAGTGCTCGCCTTGAGCTGAAGAGCTGAGGGACAGCGCCCAGGCCCAGAGTTCAGGCCCCACGACCGGACCAAAAAAAAAAAAAACCAAAATATATAATCATAAAATTTTAATATAATTATATATTTTATACTTATATAAACATATAAATATAAATGTGTTTATGTTTTAATATGTAATACATAATTTTTTATATAATTATATAATTGCATACATAATTGGTAGTCAGGGTAATGCATAGTTGCCACCTTGGGTGCAGCCACAGCTTGATTAAGAACCAGAATTTCAGGAGCATATTCGATTTTTTTTTGTTCACATTGTAAAGTGTCCTCTCTTTTTCAATATAGCTTCATTGGTATGTGCCACTATAAAAGCATATTTTGAGTCAGTATATATTTACTTTTTTCCATTAGATGTGTAGAGCTCTAGTTCTAGTAATCAGGTCAGCTTTCTAGACCAAAGTTCCTCAGGAAAGCTGTCATCTCTACAACCAGGTCTAAGTACTACTTCATGTCGTCTGCCATTATTCCTTAAGTTGCTGCTATCAGTAAACAAGTCCCAATTTGGATTTGAAATGAGTTGCTATTTGGATCTGAAATGAGTTACTCAGATAAGTTTGACCTTTGTGTAGACATCAAGTGGTATCCAACCCATCTTAGTCTCCTGGCCCCACAAGTAGTTGATTAGAGACAGAATGTTTTTAGGAAGTATTTGTAAGTAGAGTTACTTTCCATGCAAAGGTGATTTGAACATTTAATAAACACATGTAGACTTAGGAGCAGGATGGAATAGTCAGACATATACAAGTCATGAGTTTATTACTCACACAGTTTGAATTCCAGAGCATAGGCTATTGTTGGGCCCTTCCTGTTACCTATCCTAGAAACAGTGGTGTTTCTCAATAACATTCATTTCAAATTCAGAATTGAATAAATGGCCCCAGTATCCAGTAGAAAGTGTTAACTTTGTCAGTTTTTCCTGGGGCTCCTGTAGGGATATTTTGATGGTAGCCAACTCTACAGCCTTATGCTCAAGCTTTGTCAGTCATTATCCATCATCTGAGTCTGTAGCCATAGAAGCCTCCTGAAAATCAATTGTTCTCAAATTTCTCTGGCAAGTTCCTCTTTATAAGTTTATGTTCTTTTTCTTTATAAGTAGGAACATTGAATTCCCCCCAACTTGGGTCATGCTTCTTGCCATTTTTTCTCTTTTTGGGGGTTTGTGGTCACCCCTTGTCTAGGGCTATAGAAATGACATTAATTTAATCCTACTTGCTCCTTAGCGGTATCATCCACAGAAACAGTGTCAACAAGTTGTGAAAG